GGCACCTGGGGGTTCTGTGGAGTCTGGGGCATCTGCGGCACCTGGGGCATCTGCGGCACCTGGGGGTTCTGTGGAGTCTGGGGCCTTTGTGGATACTGGGGCACCTGAAAATACCAAGGAACCTGCAGATATGGGAACAACTGGGGGTTCTGTGGAATCTGGAGCATCTGTAGATACTGGGGCATCTGCAGATTCTGTAGAGTCTGGGGTGCCTGTGGGCTCTGTGGCATCTGTAGATACTGGGGCACCTGGGGGTTCTGTAGAGTCTGGGGTGCTTGTGGGCTCTGGGGCACCTGAGGGTTCTGTGGAGTCTGGGGTGCTTGTGGGCTCTGGGGCATCTGTAGATACTGGGGCACCTGTGGATACTGGGGCACCTGGGGGTACTCTGGGTTCTGGGGCATTTGTAGATACTGGGGCACCTGGGGGTGCTCTGGGCTCTGGGGCACCTGTGGATACTGGGGCCAGTGATGCCTGCGAGGCCAGTGGTGGTAAGACTTCCTTCCACGTTTGGGACACAGGAGTGAGACAGGATTTCCATGCCAGCGCAACAGCAACTTGTAGTTATCGTCCTGGGTTGAGAGAGAGAAATGAAATTTTAGCTATGCAGCATTCACAAGATTTAAAAAAAAAAAAAAATGGGGGGGGGGGGTAGAAACCCACACTTGCCTGTTGCATCATGTTGCAGCCATTGTAAGGAACCATCATGACAAATGCCTTCGAGTTTTCATGCATTTTGTAGCCACATTTTGGTGGGACCATTGCTAGCGGCATTAGTTCTTTATTTTCTTTGGGGAAATTGAGAGCGACACTCAGCAGGTGAACAACACATGTTGTACAGCCAAGAACCCCATTTTGACTTTACCTTGTTCTACTTCCAGTTGAGAAGCACTTGGTCCAAGTGATCTGAACTTCAAATGATCCCCATAACAATGCAGGGATGCTGCCATGCGGTTCCATTTCTCCTTAAGGGTGTCATCCATTTCTGGTTGGGTCCATCCTGTAAGATACATGAAAGTTTTGAAGTAGATGGCCATTTGTCCTGAGCCTGGTTCTGCTAAAGGTTTCTTCTTCATGAAGGAGTTTCTCTTTCTCTCTTTCTCCCCCCCCCCCCCCCCCCCACACACACACACACACACACACACACACACACACACACCCCACTGTTGCCTTTGTAATAAAGTTAAACTCATAGCAGCAATCTGCTCCTCAGATAATGTTGTTGGGGGAACAACAAACAATTACATTTTACTGAAAATATCCCTCATACATACATCTCAAGTGCCCCCAGATGACATCTGTTGTGACTTGGCACTATATAAATACACTTCTATCTGAATTGAAACGTTTAAAAATTTCATTCCACTACTGAACTTTCTCATCCTGTGCTTAAAATAATCTAAAATTAAGACTTACCTGCAAAATCTGCCTGATATGAAGTTTCATCCTCTGTAGAAGCATTTGAAGATGTTTTCCAGGTTTGGTCTGTGACATGCGACTGCTTCTCAAAAACATCTCCAAATAGAATCTTCCCTTCCTGGACACCAACATCAAATCCTTTCCGTGCTGCTCGTCTTTCTGTTTTCGTCAGTCGAAGGCATTCTGACATTTGTACTAAATGACATGTTAAAATAAAAGCAGCAGCCAAGCAGGCAGTGGTACTTTTCCTTCGTTCTGTACCCATCTGTGCTGTGCACAACTCCTGGAAGAGTAGAACTGACTTGCAAACCTTCATCACAACTATTTGACTTAATTTTTTTTCAGTCTGCAAGGAAGCAGGTGCTGCAACAGCCAATCAAATGCTGAGAAAGAGATTATTCTGTAATCAACTAGAATTGTTTACACCTGAGTATATGTGCTCAAGACTTGGATCATAGGCGTTGTATTTATTTATTTATTTATTTTTTTCTGAACCCATTTTATCAGACCGACTACATTTTTTGTTTATTTCTGCCTATAAAAAGAACAAAATGAATGTTTTTATTATGTGAATTAAGTAACTGATAAGGTAATTTTATTCTGACATAAATTCTTTAAAGAGTAAAAGGTACTAAAACATTGCCATCTGCTGGATAAAAAATGCTATAGACTCTAAATATAGATAAACATTTTAGAATAATTTTGTTTATTTTTCTCTAATGAACAATGAAGTGTTCACAGAAGATGACTAAAGGCACAGCTGTCATAGTAACAGCAGTTTTTAATATTAAGAGTGAAGTTTGAAGCTGCAGCATATTGGAAAAAGATTCAAATTTGAATGTTTTTTAAAGTTTCAATTCTATGAACAGTTTATAAATACTACTTGAAGTAAGATTAAACTGTAAGTCAAATACCCATATAAATAATTTCATAAAGTTAGTAAATTTGAAATTTAAAAGCAAGTGTTCTCGTCAACCTGATTTTTTATTTTTTTTTTTACTTCACAATATGCCCGGCTTAGATCGATTGTTACTAATTGTCTTTTCATAATTGTATTAACGTGAATATGTTGTATTGTGATTGGAATAGAATGAGTTTTGGATTTTAATCCAGATCTGAAATGGATATATGATCTGGACTTTTGTTTCTGTTGTATAGTGCTCTGCTTTATAAACAAATTGAACTAAACTAACTCACAATGTTCATATGTTTATTTCTGTTGTTGTTGTTGTTGTTGTTTTATAACCAATCAGCAGATTTAGTTAACATTTAAGCCTGGCATCTTTTCACAAGCAGTGATTTGGTATCCAGGGCTACAACAACAGCACACACATGAGAACAGCTTCACTACACACCTCTGTGGTGAGTGCACCTTGTTTGATATTTTCCATGTCATTTTCTTAAAATATTCCACACCAGATATAATTAACAGCCCACATGGTGTGTGAAGGTTTATTTTTATAACAGTCTTTAATCCTGAGACAAAAAAAACAAAACACTGAAGACAGGAACAGATGCATTGATGCGGTCCAGCTTGTCCATAAGATCAAGCCAGAATCGGGCCTAATCTAGGCTTCTTAAACTTGGGCATTTAAGCAGCTTGCATCAATGTGGCTTAATTTTGTTTTAGTTAATTTAAGACTATGGAGCCCTGGAGTAAATCTAATGAAAACACCTGCATCAAGCCTCTTTAGCCTAAGTGGGAGCACAGTTTTTGTGTCTAATTTTGCTCATAAAAACCCTGAATGGAATTGAGGACATTTCATTTCTGTAGTGAATTTTGACATCAAACAATGGCTGAAGCTAAAAGAACCTGCTCAAACAAACAAACAAAAAAAAAAAAAAAAAAAAAAACTGTACAGCATATGAAAAAAAAATCACTTAAACAAATTGTTGCAAATCATGTTGTCGTTGAAAAAAGCCATACATCTTCTAATGAGCATAATAAGAAGTTTCTCAAAGTCAGGTGAGAAAGGAGCAGGAGAGACTGGTCCAAATCGAGGATGTAGGTCCAGATGGTGTCAGTCCCAGAGTCCTGAAGGTCTGTGCAGAGCAGCTCTGTGGGGTTCTGCAGCACCATTTCAAACAGCCTAATCCAGGAGAAGGTTCCAGTGTTGTAGAAAACCTCCTGCCTCGTTCCATTACCAAAGAAAACTCATTCATCAGTCCTCAGTGACCTGTTGCCCTGACATCCCACATCATGAAGGTCCTAGATAGACTTCTGTTGGCCCATCTGAGTAAACAAGCACATATCAGAACCCATTGCACTTTGTTTATTGATGTGGACTTGGGAGTTGAAGATGCCATCATACACCTGCTTCAGCAAACTCATTGCCATCTAGAAAAGGCAGACAGCACTGTGAGAGTCATGTTCTTTGATTTCTCCAGTGCATTTAACACAATCCAGCCTGATTTGCTTTGTCAGAAACTCCAGAAGACTCAGGTGGAGGTCTCAACAATCACTTGGATCAAATACTACCTGACAAACAGACCACAGTTAATGAGACTGAAGGGTTGTGTGTCTAACCAGGTGGTCAGTAGCTCAGGAGCACCACAGGGGACTGTACTCTCACCATTCAGTTTCACTCTGTACACCTCAGATTTCCAGTACAAACAGACTCCTGTCACCTGGAGAAATATTCAGATGACTCTGCAGTGGTCGGGTATTTCAGAGATGGACAAGAAGATAAATACAGGGAACTGGTGGACCGCTTTGTGGCATGGTGTGGAAACAATCATCTCATCTTGAATGTGAATAAAACAAAGGAGATTAGTGTAGATTTCAGAAACCTGGCTACAACAGGAGGATTTAATTAGTATAAATGAATCCACCCAACCTAATTATTTAAATTTTCAAGTTCCTAGAACAACTGGTCGAGGTGGAGGAGTAGCTTGTATTTTTCAGCCAGGATTATTGATTAATGCTAAACCAATTATTTGTTATAATTCTATTGAGTCGTTGTCCCTTAGTCTTTCATATCCAAAATGGAAATCAGAAAAGCCTCTTTTACTAGTTACTCATCGTCCACCAGGCCCTTATTCTCAGTTTTTGTCAGACTTCTCAGATTTTTTGTCTGACTTATTACTAAATACTGATAAAGTCATAATAATGGGGGACTCCCATATTCTTGTAGATGTAGAAAGTTATAGCTTAAGCATAGCCTTTAAAAGTTTAACAGAGTCGATTGGTTTTACCTAAAATGTCCACACATCTACTCATTCTCCACATCACACTTTTGGTCTGGTTCTGACTTATGGCATAAAGATGAAGTACTTCTTATTAATACATCCTCAAAATTATGTTCTGTCTGACAATATTTTTAATAACCTTTGAGTTTACATTAACTGACTACACAACAATTGAGAGTAAATTTCATTTTAACAGGCGTTTATTAAAGAACGCAGAAACCAAATTTAAAGAATCTCTTTGTTTGAGAATTCATATTATGAATCTTTTTATTTTATGGCTGAGAACATCTTTCTGTAATCTGTGCACAAATCATTCTCTTGTCTCGGCCTGTTTTTATCTTTGTCTGGTCTTCTTGTGTCCTCACTGTAGCTTGAGTAAGTAGATAATAATGTGATATTTATTTATCCAACACTCTTCCATTGTTATTTTACTCTGTCTTGCAGAGTATTTAGATAAAGATTAAGGATGTTTATTAGTAACTGTTGTTAAACTAATGTCTGTGTGTTAGAGAGTTGCTTTAACAGACAGTTCAGTGCTCTCTGAAGAGCACGGAGCCTGCGCACCTGATAAACTCCAAGGCCTTGTCCATCATATGTAAGCTGGAAGGCAGAGTTCATCTTGACCTCATCTCTTTCTGATAAGCATGATAAAAAGGAATTTCTTTACACTGTCCATGGGCAGACCTCATGACTGGAGCTTCAGTGTAACATCTGTGTAAGCTATCCTGATACATGCTCAATAATCCAGGTAGAAAAATCCAAAAAAGTTCAATCTGGTCCTCTGGACATTCAAAAAACAAGAAAACAAAAAAAAACAAAATAAAGCAAAAAAAAAAATGTAGAAACGTTTCGTCTATCATCCGAGAGACTTCCTCAGTCTGAGGTGCTGTATTCAGCTCAGTCTCTTAAATAGCACCTTCTCAGAGTGGATCAACCAGTTTGCTACTGAAAACCAAAACTGTGTAAGCTAGTTTTGAATTCTGACCCCTTGCAAGTAAATTGGGTTGAAAAGTTTTCTTGTGTCCTCCAGTGGCTTATCTGAGTAAAGATATGATGAAAAAATAATTAATTTATCCAAGAGATAGCCTGCTAACATATAAGAAAGCTCTCCATAAAGCTAGAACTGTATATTATTCATCTTTAATTGATAAAAAAAAAGCACCAGGTTCAGTACAATAGCTAGACTAATGAAAAGCCCATCTCTGTTGAGCCATGCATTCCTACAACTTTAAGCAGTGATGAGTTCATGAGATTCTTCATAAATAAGATCATTTATATACGCAGACATATAGAGATGTAGGTATGTACTTTGACCATAGCCATTGTCAACAAGTAGTAGTGCACTATGCTGTTCTTTGTCAAACAGAGTGTATGAGGAGTTCAGAAAAATAGTTACATTATGAGTTACACCTTTCCAACCGGCAATAATGTTTGAAAACTCCAAACTGGGTGTGCATGCACCCCAGATAATGACTGAAAGCCAGTAGATTCCTGTACTCCTCAGAAGCAGGAGTTGATAGATGCTTGATGGCAACATGACATCTATCTATACAGCCAATCACTCATGGGAAGTGTCAATTATTATAGAACTGTACTTTATAGTTTGCTTGCTCATTAACATCATGGAATTTGATGCACAGGCTTCTTAGTTCACAAATGGCACTGCAGACTCTGTGGACTATTCTACACAGAGATGCTTCACTGGTACTACACAAATCATCAGTTTCATGATGAAAGAGTCCAGATGCCAAGAATCTCAAAATGATCAGAACTTGGAGAGAACTGGGCAAAGGTTTTCCTCTTTGATTCAGAGAAGAATTTCTAGGCACAAGCAAAGTAATTATTTCCAGTGCATTTTCTTTGTACCTACGAAAGTGGTCTCAGAATGTTATTTATCTAAGAGGTTCAATGGATTACTCCTATCCACAAGTGCTCTTCTGGCTGGCCTCCATACTGAATACTGGTTTTCATTTAGATATTCCAAAGACTCGATGTTGCCAAACTGTCTGTGCACCCTTTCACAAATAATACTAAGCAGAAGTTAAACCTGCCTCTTTAAAGGGCTATTTTAAGCTTCAATTTAGTCACAGAGTAGCTCTGATCCACCTTCTTACAAATGGCTTTGTTTGATAGATAACAGACTAAATTTTTGAATATTTTAAGAAAAGGCTATGCAAAGGATTTTTACTACCATCAGCTCAAACTGTCTTACAAGTTCATTAGTCAAAGTCAAAGTTTCTTTATTTGTCATACGCACCACATATAGTACATGTGGTGGAACAAAATTGTGTAGACAGGGTCCCAGTTACATCCAACAAAAGTATAAAATGTAAAAGAAAAACAGTAATAAGATCTAAGATATTAACTAAGAAAAACGTTAGACTAAAAATATGCTAAGCACTAGTAGTACAAAAAACAATACGCCCAACAGCAGCATGAACATGAGTCTGTGTGAGGAGATGAGTACGAATGAACACAGTAGCATGAAATAAATAAGCAGCATGATATGATTTCTTTCACAGTGGAGGACCTACCATTCTTTGTATCTTTGATTGTATACCTGGATTATTGAACATGGACTTTGTTGTTACCTACCATTCTGTGTTAATTTGTCTCTCCTATCTGTCCTCTCAAACCAGCTGGTTAAAGCAGATGGCCGCTTGTCCTGAGCCTGGTTCTGCTGGAGGTTTCTTCCTTTTAAAAGGGAGTTTTTCCTTTGCACTGTTGCCACTGCTTGCTCAGGATGGCAGACTGCAACAAAGCCAAGATTCAGCTTGTCTGCTGGCCTCCTTAGATGGAGAACTTTACTAATTGGCTTTTATGTATGTGAATGTCTCCTGTAAAGTGCCCTGAGACAACTTTGTTGTGATTTGGCGCTATTTAAATAAACTGAATTGAATTGAACAGTGATTATCCTGGTTAGGTATTCAGGAGTCTAACAGCCTCAGGGTAGAAGCTGTTCCTCAGTCTAGTGGCTCTGCACTTAATGCTCCTCAACCTCCTGCCTGAGGGGAGCAGGACAAAAAGTGTGTGTGCTGGGTGAGTGGGGTCCTTTGTGATGCAGGTGGCCCTCTTCCTGCATCTGGAGGTGTAGATGTCTGTGATGGTGGGGAGGCTGACTCCAACAGACTTCTGTGCAGCCTTCAACACTCTCTGCAGAGCTTTTCTTACTGCAGCTGTGCAGCCTCTATGCCACACGTTGATACTTGAGCACAGGATGCTCTCCACTGTACACCGGTAGAAGGAGGTGAGGACTGAGCTTCCCAGACCAGCTCGTGTCAGCCGTACTGGTGAGGGTCCTCGTTGATGTTTGTTTTAATGTGGGTCATGACCAGTCTTTTGAAGCATTTAGCGACTATCGGGGTGAAGGCTACTGGCCGATAGTCATTCAGACCAGTCACTGTAGAGCTCTTTGGGACTGGGATGATGGTAGCGGTCTTCAGGCAGGTGGGAACTGTTGCCAGGGTAAGTGAGGAGTTAAAGATGTCAGCCATCACCTCGCAGAGCTGATCGGCACAGTCTTTCAGCACCTTCATGGTGATTTTGTCTGGGCCAGTTGCTTTGTGAGGATTAATCCTTTTGAAAGTACTCCTCACTTCGGCTGAGGTCACACTGAGAAACTCTTTTTCTGGTGGAGAGGTGAGTCTGGTGCTGGGTGGTCTGTTCGGGTCTTCAAAGTGTGCATAGAACCTGTTGAGGGCATCAGGCAGTGATGATTCTCTAGGGCATTGTTCACCTCTGCCTTTATAATTTGTTATACACTTAATGCCCCTTCACATGCTCCGTGGGTCTTGTGAGGTGAATTGACCCTGGATCATTAGGGAAACGCAAAGTGATGTGTGTTGATGCAGGGATGTAAAATAATAAATAAAAGTTATATTAATATCATGAAAGATCACATTTATCTAGAAATTCTACTAATTGTGCTTGAACTTACCTGGTAGAGACTCACTGGACAAGCTGCATCATTGCATCTGTTCCTGTCTTCGGTGTCTTTTTGACTGCTATAAATAATAACATATCTATACCGTATATAGCCATAAAGTTTTACAGCAACAAGAAACTGCGAGGGAATTAAATTATACCTGGTGTGGAATATTTTAAGAAAATGACATGGAACAGTCAAGTCAAGTCAGATTTATTTATATAGCACATTTAAAACAGAAACTGTTACCAAATTGCTTAAAAAAAGATCACAGTATCAAATAAAAAGTAACAAAATATAATTACAGCACATGGAATAAAAATATAAAAACACAAAACATAATTAGAAACAATGAAATAGTAAATCAGATCACCCTGTGTCAAATGCCAAGGAATAATAACAAAAAAGCATAAACTCAGTCAGAAAGAATGAAATACTAAATCTGATCAGATTACTGTGCGTTAAATGGGAATTAAACAAAAAGCATATACACAATCAGAACCAACATGAAACGTTCATGTGACTAACTAAATCATTTAAAAATGAGACGGAAACGGGTTCAAATTGACTCAAGACTGCTGAGCAGGGGACAAAGACAGAGGGGTCAGCTATGGAGTGTGGTATCGATGACGTAATTGACTCAGCCTTTTCAACAAAATACCTGACAAACTTATTACAGGTGTCTATAGAGGACTCAATGCTGGCAGACTGAGACACATTTAAAATGGTGTTAAGTAAAACACGGAGGTTGTGACTGTTTAAGGTGATACATTTGGAGAACTATTTGTTTTTCTCTTGTTTAATGGTGGTCTGATGCTTTCCAACATGATTTTAACATATCAAAAGAAACCTGGAGTTTATCTTTCTTCCGTCTTTCTTCTCATGTGACTGATTTAACCAAGGGTGGGGCGTGTGTTTCGAATTCATGATCTTTAACGGGACGACTGAATCCAAGATCTGGATCCAAGATCCAGGAACAGATCAAACAAGGTGCACTCACCACAGAGGTGTGCAGTGAAGCTGTTCTAATGCTTGTTGTTGTTATTAAATCTGCTGGCTGGTTATAAAACAACAACAACAAAAGAAACATATGAACATTGCGAGTTCAGTTCAGTTCAGTTTGGTTTTATAGCACATATTCACAACAAAAGTCATCTCAGAGCACTTTGCAACAGAAAAGAAAGTCCAGATCATATACATGTATCCAATTCAGATTTGGATTAAAATCCAAAACTCATTTTATTTATATCAAAATACAACATATTCACATTAATACCATTATGAAATGACAATTAGTAAAAATCTATATAAGAAAGCCAGCATATTATGATGTCTAAGTTAAAAAAAAAACAATTTTGGTTGAAGAAAACAGACTTGTTTTTTTTAATATTACAAAATTTTACTAACTTTATGAAATTATTCATCTGGGTATTTGGCTGACAATTCAATCTTACTTCAAATATTATTTAAAAGCTTTTCACGGAATTGAAACTTTCAAAAACATTCAAATTTGAATCTTTTTCCAATCTATTGCAGTTTCAAACTTCACTCTTAATATTCAAAACTGCATTTAACACAAAAGATGTGCCTTTAATTGTCTTATGTGAACACTTCATTGTTTACTAGAGAAAAATAAGCAAAATTCTTCTTAAATGTTGAGCCTATAGCATTTTTCATCCAGCAGATGGCAATGTTTTAGTACATTTTATCCATAAATACTTTAGGTCAGAATCAAATAATCTTATCAATTACTTAGTTCATATAATAAAAATTAAAAAAAAGACTTTGGTTATTTTTATAGGCAGAAATAAATGATCAATCTAGTCAGTCCAATAAAATGGGTTAAAAAAAAAAAAAACTATAATCCAAAATGTCTTGAGCACATATGCTCAGGTGTAAACAATTCTAGTTGATTACAGAATAATCTCTTTCTCAGCATTTGATTGGCTGTTGCAGCACCTGCTTCCTTGCAGACAGATGTCAAATCAGTCAAATAGTTGTGACGAAGGTTTGCAAGTCAGTTCTACTCTTCCAGGACTTGTGCACAGCACAGATGGGCACAGAACAAAGGAAAAGTACCACTGCCTGCTTGGCTGCTGCTTTTATTTTAACATGCCATTTAGTACAAATGTCAGAATGCCTTCGACTGACAAAAACAGAAAGACGAGCAGCGCGGAAAGGTTTTAATGTTGATGTCCAGGAAGGGAAGATTCTATTTGGAGATGTTTTTGAGAAGCAGTCACCTCCTGTCACAGACGGAAACTGGAAAACTTCTTCAAATGCTTCTGTGGAGGATGAAACTTCATATCAAGCAGATTTTGCAGGCAAGTCTTAGTTTAGATGGGTTTTAAGCACAGATCCAAGATGAGTTCAGTACTGGAATGAAATTTAAACTTTGATTTGACTTGCAGGATGGACCCAACCAGAAATGGATGATGCCCTTAAGGAGGAATGGAACCGGAGAGCAGCATTCCTGCGTTGTTTTCGAGATCACTTGATGTTCAGATTACTTGGACCAAGTGCTTCTCAACTGGAAGTAGAACAAGGTAAAGTTGAAATTGGCTTCTTACCTGTACAAAATGGTTGCTCACCTGCTGGGTGTCATTCTGCATTTCCCCACAGAAAATGAAGAACTAATGCCGCTAGCAATGGTCCCACCAAAATGTGGCTACAAAATGCATGAAAACTCGAAGGCATTTGTAATGATGGTTCCATACAATGGCTGCAACATGAAGCAACAGGCAAGTGTTTTGTTTTGTGTGTGGGTTTTTTTTTTTTTTTTCCCCCTAAAACATTTAAAAAAAAATGTTTATTCTTCCTAGGATGATGATTTTAAGTTGCTGTTGCGCTGGCGTGGAAATCCTTTCTCACTCTTGTGTCCCAAACGTGGAAAGAAGTCTTACCACCACTGGCCCCAGGCTCCACAGATGTCCCAGTATCCGCAGGTGCCACAGATCCCCCAGGAGCCCCGGTATCCGCAGGCGCCACAGATCCCCCAGGAGCCCCGGTATCCGCAGGCGCCCCAGGAGCCCCGGTATCCGCAGGCGCCACAGATCCCCCAGGAGCCCCGGTATCCGCAGGCGCCACAGATCCCCCAGGAGCCCCGGTATCCGCAGGCGCCACAGATCCCCCGGTATCCGCAGGCGCCACAGATCCCCCGGTATCCGCAGGTGCCCCGGGCTCCGCAGGCTCCACAGATCCCTCAGGTGCCCCGGGCTCCGCAGGCTCCACAGATCCCTCAGGTGCCCCGGGCTCCGCAGGATGTTGAACTTCAGTACCTGTCTTCTCTTTATTCACACCCATTATTTTCTTACCTCTTTACATCAGGAGCTGAAGAATCTAATTTGCCACAATATTCATTCTCCTCCCCTCGGCAAGCTTTTTCTGTTCTAACCCCAGTTACATCAGAAGACCCTGGTTACCCTCCGATGCCTCTGGATCCATATTTTTGGCCATTTGGATCTTACAGTCATGACCTGCCTTCCTACTTTCCTTTCCTCCCTGAATACCAAAATATTCTAATGCCATTATACCCTAAAAATCCTGTAACAGAGTATCCAAGGAATCCCACACCAGAAATGAAGACTACTGCAGCTCCTACAACTTCTGAAACTCCTATGCCCTCAGCAGTTACTCAGGCCCCTACAGATATTCCTCAGTCTTATTCACCTGAAAACCTGCCGTTTCTTCCCTATGGACAGGAACTTCCACACTTTTTCTACCCTTATCAAGGCTAGTCTGCAATAAACGTTTAACTAAATAACTGGCTCTGTCTTTTTGATATGGTAAATTTTGCATTTTGACTTCTGGGATTGGGCTCTTGTAAGGCAACTAAACACTGGGATTCTTGAACTTCATTTCGAAGTGAAACTTGTAACAGTCATGCCATGGATGACTTTTTTTTTTTTTTTTTTTTTTCTCTCTCTCCCCCCTAATGTATTTACTAGTTTCTGTATCCTAAAACCCTTGGCAACTATAAAATTTCAATGACTTCAGAGTAAACGAAAACTACTAAAATAACTCGACTGGTCGATTTCCTGTTGCGTGAAATGACATTTCTTGGTAAATTCCACTTTGTCTTAACAAATTTCATCAAGGCGGGTGTCTAACACTACCCCTATGCTGATATCCAACCTAGTGGAAAATTGCACTAACCTCAACCTAAAGAAAAGGCACATGAAGTGCACGTTGCACAAAAAACGCAGCTGAAAGTCTTGCAGAACATTTATCTTTACATTAAAACCCCTCAAATGGATTACTGTGAAGTGAAAATAAAACACCCTGCATAACAATAATTCTATGGACAAACTGCAAAAAAATAGCCAATATGGGTAACATACGATAAACTGAAACGGAACAAAATGCCATTAACCATAATTGAAAACAAACTCGGAGATATATTTTTTTAAATAGTCTGGTCGAAATATAAACATATTTGATAACGTGCATATTAAAGTTACCAATCCACCTGACCGAGCTACGTGTGGCTTGAACTGCATGATGTAGGTCTGGGCTTAATCTGTGGAAAAGTTCTTTGCTGTTGTCAGTGATGTGGAGCTTAGCCAGGTGAGATGCTGAAATGGGCTCCATCCAGACCCCTGAGCTGCTGCTTGATGCCGTTAAATGCAATATGGGGCTTTAGAGACCCGAGCTGTATGATCAGGGAAGATGGCGATGAACATGTCATTCACCTTGAGCTTGCTTCTCTCAAACGTAGAATCCTGATGTCTGTAGTAGTGAAGACAAGCTATTATGGTTCTCAATCACTGTCCTGTCTTTGGCACCGGTTGTAAGGATCTGTGGAACCTGTCCATCAGCGGCGCATCGTCTAGGTTAAGAGCCTTCTGAAGTAGGCTAGCAATGGAGGAGGGGGAACAGTTGTCGGGGGGCCCTCTGGAGCACCAACGATCTTGATACTATTTCTCAGGGATCTAGATTCAAGATCTCCACATTTATTCTGTAGTGAGTCAGTCACAACTCCCAGCCGCGTAACCTCTCGTTTCAGTGACTCAACGTCATCAGAGCAGGCCATTAAGCTCCGTTCAGCATCACCCAGGGTACTACATAATGCTAACTCCATGTTTATCACTCGCACATCCGTTTGAATCACTGCCATTTCACTTTCCAAAACTGCTCTGACCTGTTTCCTGTGTTGAGTTTTGGAGGCTCGATCAGCCTCCAAAGTCCTGAAAAGAGCACTGTCGAGCAAGCTATGGAGTAACAGGCTCGAGGCTTAAGCTCTGCAGAACTATTGGATAAATAAGTATATTAAAGGCTCTTTTTATGTAATTTTATACTGTAAGTGGAAAAGTGCTGCGAATATTGCGGGAACACTGTTGCCAAGAAACAATGGCAAGTAAAGGACAACAAACAGCTACAGCTAGATCAAGGCATGATGCACCATCTGCCTCCTCCACCTCTGGTGGAAAATGTGACAATGATGCTGATGTTCCCAACAGGCCTCTTGACGATGAGTTTATAAAATGGGACCTGTTGCTCTCTCTACAGTCGGCCATTTCATTTCCATGACGAAAACAGAGGTTACGGCTCAGAGGGTCCTTGTAGGATTGTGCCAGGCACTTGGCCAAGGTTAGATGTTAATGGTGTCTGCAGGAAGGCGGCTGATGAGAATAGTCAGCGGGTGATAAGAAGCCCTAAGCTCATCTGAAAGCATGTGAAGTCTTGCCATGGGAAAAAAAAAAGTTTTAATCTACCGTATTTCTACTTGGCTTTAACAAACATTCTTCCTGATCAAAACTCATCTTTTCTAACAAAGACGATGGACAACACAAAAACAAACACATCAGGATGGGAAACGTGGAAAACAGAACTGAACACGCACAAAACTGCAGCTTTTGTGTTGCTTCAGTTCCAAGAACAGCACTGGCATTTCCAGACTGAAACTTTAGAGTTGTGGCAACCCTTACGCTGAGTTCTTTTTAAACAAAGCAGAGACATTATGTTCAAACATCTTATATTTTACATGATTTCATAAAAAAATATAATTGCAAATAATATCTTTCATATTTTAACCAGGGCAGCACGGTGGCGCAACTGGTAGAGCTGCTGCCTCTCAGCGAGCAGGTCCCTGGTTCAAACCCCGGTCCAGGGGCCTTTCTGGGTGGAGTTTGCATGTTCTCTCTGTGCATGCGTGGGTTTTCTCCGGGTACTCCGGTTTCCTCCCACAGTCCAAAAACATGCATGTTAGGCTGATTGGTAACTCTAAATTGTCCCTAGGTGTGAGTGAGAGAGTGAATGGTTGTTTGTCTCGTTTGTCTCTGTGTGTCCCTGTGATGGACTTGCGACCCGTCCAGGGTGTACCCCGCCCCTCGCACAGTGATTGCTGGACATGGGCACCAGCGACCCCCGTGACCCAAAATGGAATAAGCGGGTAAAGAAAATGGATGGATGGATATTTTAACCATGTCATAATAAAAACAACTTTGTTCATGAGCATGTTTTTCTGTATCAAAAGCTTAAAAGAAATGTGTAAGCATTTATCAAACTGGGTGGACAGTGAATGTGTGAACACAGACATTATTTAGGTCAAAAGTAACTTTAAATTAAAACCAGTTCAGGGTGGTTATGAAATGTGACCTCAGGGTCAGAGGTCATAGTCATTGCAGAGCATATTCATGCTACAGTTTCAAACAAACCATTGCACCACAGCACAAGTGAACCATTACCTTTAATTTTTAAGCCACCTATTTTCTTTACAAACTCCAGAAAGTTTGGCATGGTGCATATGTTGACATGGTATCTGTTTTTAAGTTACAGTCTAGATTTGAACAAGGACCCGCAACCTTTTGGATCAAAGGAGCCATTTCTACCCTTTTGCTTATTGAAACGTGTCCATAGCTGCAAAAGCTGCAACTGTGATTATCAACTGGTAGTCATTGGGGGGTGGGGGGGGGGGGGGGGTAAATAAAACAAATTATAGAATTAAATTTAACATAATTTTTTATACATTTTTGACAATAGAAAAGAAAGTTTTCACATGAAAAAAAAAAGTGCATACCAATTTTGCTAAAAGTGTAAACCATTGAACTCTGCAGGTCTGTGTGAGTTATTTTATTTAAAAAACTAATGTAATTAAGTAACCCACTTAGAAATAATAAATCAGAAATTTAAAGTGTGCATATAAAATCGGGCCGTTTTGTTGGATTGTGATATTTTGAAAATTTAATTTACAATCAAAGCGAGACTTTAAATGGCAGAAACAACAATTCACAGGTTCATAGGTTCAATTTGTGAGAGATCTTTTTTTATATCGTCTCTCCTCATGTTTTCTTCCCTTTTCTCATCTAAGCAAAATATTATTCTGAATAAGAATAAGAGGGCTGCGCTTTTTATAGTAGCAGCTTTGTGCACTCTGCCCATATTTCGGACGACTGTATGTACATGTTCTCGTATCTCGGTGCAATGATAATAAAGTTTATTCTGATTCTGATTTGATTTATTTTTACTTTAATTGTGTTGTATTTTTCTAATTCTTGTTATCAAATTGACTCACCATATTTCTTAGCAACTTGCCTTCAAGTTATTACAAAAACTGTTGGGTGGATTTGAGTGAAAGAACCCACTGTAAGGCTGGAAGTTGGATCGACGAAGGAGTTAAATCTTCTGGTAATAACGTTTCGCTCATTCAAACAATTGCAGAAAACTGGCAGACAAATTGCTCAAAGTAGTCTTTTCTATTGTGGATATAAAAAAAAAACAATAAAAGTAAATTTAATGTTAGATTTAGTAAAAGCTTCAAAAAGCTGTAAACTAGGGACCAAAGAGTCCCGTGTGGCTCCAGAGCCGCTGGTTGCAAACTCCTGATCTAAAGAAGAAATGATTGAAATATTTTTTGCTCAGTTTGTTTAAACCACATGAAAACAATTGTTGTCCGTAAGTTCTCTGGATTTAAACCTTTTTGCTGCTAATCTTTGCATCCCTGGAACCTCCAGGAAAAAAATCATAAAGTTCATACATTTTTGTACTGATGAGTGTTGAGCTTGAGTATGACATATTATTGTTTTTAACAATCTTGTGTCTTCTGCCCACTGCACTGCCAATAAAACTGCCAACAGAGTTGACATATCTCTTCTTCTTCTTCTTGCTTAGTTTAATGGCGGTTGGCAAAAAACTGTGGGTGTGCATTACCGCCACCACTGGTATGGAGTGTGGTTCATCATGGTATAATTCTATGTGTATGCATGATTAAGCTATATGTATTTCAAATTATATTAATCAACTTTTCTTAAAATATCTATTTATAATTTGTATATGTTTGCTCTCTAAGTTGTGTTGTAGTGTGTCTATTATGTTTACTTTTCTTTTACCTTATCAAACTCTCTCCATAAATCTTCGTTCTTGCTCATATTTCTGACATTTTAGTATAACATGTTGTATTGTTTCATGTCCACAGTGCTCACATTTTCCTATATTGTGTTTCTGTATTTAAAATAGTGAATAATTAGGTCCTGTATGCCCAAATCTCAATCTTGCTATCTTTCCTCCTTTCTGTTTCTTCTTCCAGTACACTTCTTCTTCTTCTTCTTCTTCATTTAATTTATTGGCGGATTGCAAGCAACTATTAGGTGCATACCGCCACCTACTGAGCATGAGTGTGCAATTCCAGGCCGCTTTCCCTAAATCCTACCTATAATATTGATGTTTTTTAAGTAAATAATCAGTTTTTTCCGTACATCCCTTATCTTGTCTTTATCCCCTTCATTCCCTAATAATCCTTCCAAATTCCATACTCTTCCTACCTCTTCAACTTTTCTTTTCAGCTTCTCCCCTTCTTCAGAATATTTAAAACATTTCATTAATACATGATCAACATTTTCTATTTCCCCACATTCTTTACATTTATTATCTGTCCTTTTCCCCATCATGTACATGTTGTCATTGAGAAAAGTATGACCCACCCTTAATCTCATAAAGATTATGTCATTTCTCCTTTGATTGTCTCTGATATTCTGCATTGTAACTGATTTCTGTATTCTATAGTATCTTCTTCCTTTACTATCTTCATCCCAACTCCTTTGCCAGTCCTCCATCCCTTGTTTTTTAATCATTGACTTACCCTCTCCTTTCCCATATGAAATCTGAATTATTGATTCTCTGGTAAGCGCTGATTTGGCAAGCTTGTCTGCCCGTTCATTTCCTTCTACCCCTACATGTGCAGGAACCCAACAAAATTGCACATCTATACCTCCTCTATACAATCTAAACAAAGAATGTTGAATTTCTAACGTGAGATCCTTCCTACTGTCACCATATGCTTGAATACTGTCTAAAACTGCTATTGAGTCTGTGAAAATTGCTATTCTATCAGGTCTGACTTCTTCAATCCATTGTAAACTAAAAATAACCGCCATCATCTCTGCTGTAAATACTGATAATTGATCTGAAATTCTCTTGACTATACTTATTTCGAATTCTGGAATGTATACCCCTATTCCCACTCTTCCTTTTGTGTTTCTAGATCCATCAGTAAATACATGTAGATAATTATAGTACGTTTCTTTAATATATTTACTAGATTTTCTTCCTATGTCTGTACCGTTACATTCTCGTTTCCATTCAAGCAATTTTATGTCTACATTACTTTCAGGAAACAGCCAGGGTGGAGTAATACTTATCGGGTAACTTCGAGCAAAGTCTATATTTTGTAGTCCATATGTTTCAGCAAGTTTGTTTATTTTCCATCCGAATCCTCTTCTGTGAAATGTGTTGTTTCCAGTACACATTTCTCCTAGTGTCTTTTTGAGTTGAGTATTCTTCTTCTTCTTCTTGTTTTGTTTTTTGGCGGATGGCAGACCAACGTAAGGTGCATTACCGCCACCTACTGAGCTGGAGTGTGTAGCTCATGGCCTCCTTTCCCTAAATTCTATTTTTAATATTTATGTTGTGCAAATATAGAAATAACGCTTTTCTAACATCACTTATTTTATCCTTGTCCCCTTCAGTTCCTAATATTCCTCCTAAAAACCATACTCTCCCTGCCTCTTTCAGTTGACATATCTGTGTATGAATGCTAGAATTATAAGAATCTTAATGAATTCACCTGTTGTGACCTTATTGACTACAGCTGATAGGCTCTAGCTGCGCTTCCATCTGATTGGCTTCACCTTTATCTGAGTCACCTGGTGCTCTGGAGTATGAAGTACTTTAAAAAATGTGAGTTTGTTAATTTGTATCAGACTGAACTTCGCTTCCTCAAAATTACCTTTTCAACATGGAAGGTAGAGCACGGTGCAGGGTGTGGCAAATTATAGCAGCCACAGTGCTCATGTGTTCTTTAGCCTCATGTTTAATTTATTTTAGCTTGCAAAGAATATCTAAAGTAGGTAAACAAGATGAGGACATTGTTGAAGGTAATGCCTTAGAAGTAAAGAGAGGAAGTATTTTCTTTAAAGAAAAAGAGCTCGACTACCAGTCAGATTCTGCTGCTGCTACAGAAAATGCCTTAACACAACCTGATCATGAAGGTAAGGATTTATATTTTTATGTAAATGTTGCATAAACTCAAACTATTGCAGTGAGTTAAATGCTGTGCTTTTCATAACATATATTTTAAAGTGGTAGATGACATGGCCAATGCAGCATGGGGACTACTGAATGCTAAACTTCAGTGTGGCAGTAATGAGTTTAAATTTAAAGCCATGGGACCTGGTGCTGCAGATATTCAACTGGAAATGGGTAGGCAACTTTTTTTTTTTTTTCTTCTTTATCAAACAAATGCAAACTGGTATTTGACTCAACTTGGGCCCTTTCTAATGTATCTTCTTTCTCCTAGAAAATGGAAAGCGTTTACCTCTAATCCAGGTTCCCAAAGAGTGTGGATTCTCAGTGAAACAAACTGCCTTGGGACTTCTTGTCACTGTTTCTTATGATGGCTGCAGTGTTAAACAGGAGGTATTGTTTGTCCTAGACTTACAGAAAATTTTATTAAATGTAGGTTGTTTTTGTTTTTTTTATGACAAAACAAACTTAAACTCAGTCTTTTTTTTTGTCTTTTTATTTTCTAGAATGGGACCTACACTTTGTTGATGAAATGGAGAGAAGATGACGTCAAGATTACCTGCACCCCATTGGAAACCCCTGATGAAACCCCATCTACTTCTGAGTCTTCAACACAGCCTCAAGAAACTGCTTCGTCACTCATGCCACAGCGTTTACACCGCTCTAAACGGCATCTCAGATGGCCTCCCGTGTTTTACCCTTGCTCTCCACACAGGCGTTCCCACCTGTGCATGTTCACTCCTCCACCAGCTACCACCACCACCACAACAACCACAACTGCTGAACCAACATTCCCCCCTCTCATCCATCCATTTTTCTTGCAAAAGATGCTTTCGCTTTACCCCACCTATGGTTCCTATGATCCGTACCTTAAGATGCATCCCCATAAGGTAATGCACCGACTTGCTGGCAAGAATCTAGGATGGAAACTATTGCAGATGCCTGAGAAGCGTTCCCAACACTTTCAGCATTTATTTGAAATGCTTCCACGCACAACCACCACAGTACCACCTACAACAATCAAAACTACACCATGTTCAACCACGACGACTATGAGCTATGGTGACGACAACTGTCCTGGCTTCTGGAGAAGATGGGTTCCTTTCCCTAAATTCAGCCCAAGATTGCCAGTTATTAGCAATGATTACCAGCAATTCATGGGAAAAAATTACAGACCTGGATCTCAGACTCGGGATGTTTCAAAA